GTTTTCTTCTATTAGAATTATCTTAGCAATTGTTGCACATCTTGACTTGGAACTTTTCCAAATGGATGTCAAGACTGTATTCCTCAACGGAGAGTTGAAGGAAGTAATATATATGAATCAACTTGACGGATTTTAGGTTGAAGGACAAGAAAACAAAGTATATAAATTAAAAAAATCTTTATATGGTTTAAAACAGTCATCTAGACAGTGGTATCTCAAATTTCACAATACTGTTATCCAACTTGGTTTTGTTACAAATAAATTGGATAATTGTGTATATGTCTTGAAGAGTGGTAGCAGTTTTATAATATTATTTTTGTATGTGGATGATATTTTGTTGGCTGGAAATAACATAGAAGTGCTGAACAGAATCAAGTTAGCACTTAGTAGTGAATTTGAGATGAAGGACATGAGAGATGCATCCTATGTTCTTGGTATACAGATCCTTAGGGATAGATAGTCTAGAATGTTAAGTTTAAACCAAGAAATGTATATGCATACGATACTTAGAAGGTTTGGGATGCAGAATTGTAATCCTGCACCTACACCTTTGGTTATAGGAAAACTGATGTGTAAAAAACAATGTCCTGGAGAAGAGCAAAAACTGCTTGGTATCCCATATGCACAAACTGTTGGAAGCTTGATGTATGCAATGTTGTGTACTAGACCAGACTTGACATATCCGATGAGTTTGGTTAGTAGATATCAAAGTAATCCTGGTCCAACATATTGGGAGGCTGTTAAGAGGATTTTGAAGTACATGAAAGGTACTGTGCACCATAAGTTAGTTTATCAAGCAGACTTGCTTGAGGTTCTTGGTTACTCCGATGCTGATTTCGGAGGAGACAAAGATGACAGGCAGTCCACTTCCGGACATTTGTTCATCTTTGGTGGGGCAGTTGTTTCTTGGGATAGTAAGAAACAGGGATGTGTGGCAAGATACACACAAGAAGCTAAGTACATAGCCTGTAGTATGGCCGCTACTCATGTAGTCTGGACAAGACAGTTCCTAAAGGACTTGGATCTTAATTTAGTGGATGGACCAGTTGAGATATACTGTGATAATCAAGCAGCCATCAGCTTGATCAACAGTAGTGCAAATAGTTCTAAAGGAAAACATATTGAGATACAATATCATTATATTCGTGATATTGTGGAGAAAGAAGAAGTCAGTGTGACTTATGTTCCTACTAGTGACATGATTGTTGATCCCTTGACGAATGGTATCCCAGCAGGTACATTCATCAAACATGTTGGTTTGATGGGACTTAGAAATGTCTAAGTCAAGGAAAGGAGACAATCATGAATAATGATTGTACTCGGTTTATTCACATAGAGTAAAAAGTGCATATACCTCACGGATAGTGAGAGTATGGAACTACATCTTGAGACACATCTCACAGATAGTGGGAGTGCGTGCTTGGAATATATTTGGCCATTTTGGCCAAGTGGGAGATGTAATTGGTTTTGGCCTCATAGTCCAAATTATAACCCAACCTGGTTTGTTGGGAATATCTCATATGTGGGATTTCTTCCCGTTGGGGAACGGGTCTTACGTAACGTAACTTACGTGAGGAATATCGGGAGGGATATCAGGGACAGTTTCTTGGGGACGTAGGGTGAGATGGATGCCCGTAAATAGAGAGGAGTTCTTCTCCCCTGAGATCATCAAAAAAAAGTATTACAATCTCCACTCCGGAGTCCCTAAAAAATATATTCGATCTTCTTTCCCTTCAATCTTAACTTTTCAATTATAATGAACATATTAACGAACTCTTTTGTACCACATGAACTATGTTTTTCTCCATACTATCTAGTTTTCTCATATCCATTTCGTATCTGCATACATATTCGCTCATATATCCACATGTATCCGGAACGAGTGCACCCCAAGTTGTGTTCCTTCAACCTATGTAAAAGAATATGTATCATGATGAGGTAAACTTAAAGATTAGGGCAAATTTCACCTCAACCCAATAAGTTTGAGCATTTGGCACTTAACACTCCAAATATTTGAACTCTCACTAAATTGTTAATAACTTTGGAATATTAGAATATTCCTAAAATGTTTTAATTTTTTTCACTTAAGCTCCAATTACTATTTTTTATGCTTACTTGATATTTTCTATTTGGAAACTCAAAATTTGCGCTAACGCCTTTAAAGTGGTAAGTGCAAAAAAAAAAAAGATGAAGAGAATTGGTATCATGATAATGCTTTAATTACTCTCATAAAATCATTTAATTTTCTATTTCACGTAACATTTATGGTAAGAAGTGTAAATGAAATATATAAATCTTATTTTCATGTGATAGCAACCTTTCATCTCCCTTTATATAAGCGGTACAAAACAATTAATGGGTATTCCATGTTTTCTTCCTCAAGAGGTTTACTGCCTTAAATTGCCGCCCCTTTTCTCAGATTGTACTTCCTTCCTCATCGTTCATGAGCTTTAACAATATCCTGGTGGCGAGCAAGGACTAAGTAAAATAAAATAAGGTGTGAAGTTATCTTTGTTATCGCGTGAGAGAATTGCTTTTATCAGAGCTGTGATGACGTATAACTTTTCTTTTCTTATTTGTGGACGTTTTCAGACTTAATTGATATTAACAATAACAACAATATATAATAAGGTGCTTACAATGTAGCATACCAGTAATCATTAGATTAGATGAGATGATATTATATATTTATTGTTGTCAATTGAGATTTCTGTGGAGGGTGTTATTGGAAGAAAAGTTTTAACACACTTCGCACTTTTGGAATACTATATATTAGATTAGATTAGATTTGACATTAGATTAGTTTCACGAGAAACCTACGAAAACTTTGGTAGTTTTCACATAACCCATAACCCCTCTAAATTTTATGGAATATATCTTTCTAGGTCCCTTGATGCTCTTGTTTCCCATAATAATTACAAATTACACCCAAAATGTTCTAGGCTCAAAATTAGTCACCTTTGTATTTGTTGATGACTTGCTCCTCTTCAGTAGAGGTGACCTTCCATCTATATTTGCCTTATCTAATCGTCTTGCCTCCTTTGGTTCTGTCTCTGGTCAGCATGTCAACCCCTCCAAGTGTTCTGCTTTCCTTGGGGGTGTTCCTGACAACATCAAGCATGATGTTCTTCACTTCCTTGGTTTAATGAGGGTAAATTCTCTACTGAGATATTTGGGGCTCCCTATGAAGCATGTCAACTCATGAGGCTTGCACTTGCTTCAACCATCCACACATTTTCGCTGGAAAGGAGCTCTTGAGCGCATAAAGATCATTAAGATTAATATCCTTATGGTTATCTGTCATAACCTAACTCCTGAAATTCTGAAAATTATAAAATTTGGGTGAATAGCTTATTATGATCGTATTCGGTTCGTGCTCTTGATGCTTTGTCGTAATGCTCTTTGTGCACTCAGGTATGCCTGAGTTTCATGGTGTACATAAACTTCATTACCAGCTGAACCAAATTTTCTCATTGACATTAAAAAAAAAATTGGAATCCACCCTTTCCTTTTATATAAGTTGTGTGAGATAAATAGATGTTCAAGGGGGTTATGTGGGTGGGGGTGGTGGGGGCAAAGTGCAGGGGTTATGTAAAATTAACCCTTAGGGTTATATGCAGTTAAATACCCCAAAGTGCAGGGATTATGTAAAGTTAACTCTACCCTTTTATATAAGGTTATATGCAGATGAACAACACAAAATTTACAGGAGGTACGTAAAATTAATCCTTTCTATATCTGGTTATTTGCACTTGAATACCCCTAAATATTTTTTGCCAAAAAATATCCCGAAGTTAAAAAAAAAATAACTTTGATACCCTATAGTTCGTTTTGCCCAAAAAATTATGTGAAAGATCAACACTTAAAAATTTTAACTTTGGTACCCACAAGCTACTTTTAACTTCAAAACCACATAGTTTGTTTTGCGCAAAAAATACACTATAAGTGCAAGGACCTCTACAAAATTTAACTTTGTTACCCCAAAGCTAAATTTTTATTAAACATTATTTCTTAAAGTCTAGAATATCAACGTTAAGTTTAGGGTATCAAAGCTAGTAAAGTTTAAAATGAGATAAAGTTTAAGGCATTTTTGGGTGAAAAACAACTTCAAGGTATCAAAATTAAAATTGGAATAAAGATCAATAGATATATATATATGAGAAATATGGGTATGCTTGGTACCAAGCACAAATTTTATGTTTGGTAGTGATGTATCACATCCTCATTCACTCACTACCCATGGGAATTTGTTCCCATATTTAAATGAGTGGAGGGAGATTTGACACCTCACTACCAAGCATAATTTTTTGTGCTTGATACCAAGCATACCCATCTCTCTCTCTCTCTCTCTCTCTCTATATATATATATATATCACACACACACCTCAACTATCCTGTTCTGAAATTTACTGAATGCAAAGATTGAGTAAGTAGGTCAAAGTACACGCGTAATACATGTACAGTTTCCAAAAGACGTTTTGACTTGGAAAAAACAACATTCATTTGAATTCTATCATTGAATGGAGCTTGAAGCTCGGGATACAACACTGAAAAGAGCGGTCCAAAATGCTCAAACAATGGAATACATTCGAAAAAACAACTCTTCAAACTCTACTGTCATCGAGCTTGAACTCAGAATACAAGACTAACAGAAGCAAGCAAAATGCTCGACGACGCAATATGCCGGGAACAAGATGGCTGTCGACCTAATAATTTTACCAGCTCGGTTGAAGATTGGGAAAAACTGTTATGGGATCGGGTAAATATACCTGCAGGTTAGCGTCAGCACCAATACGAGAACAACAATCTCTTGTTAAAAGAATTCGGGACATAGAAGAAACTCTCCTTTCATTGCTAAGATTAAACCGGAACATGTCAGCACAAAAACTATCTCAAAACATCTACTCCACAAAATTGTGCGACCCAAAAGGTCTCCTCATAGGACTACAGCAGCCTTCTCCTGAGAAATAAGTGGA